CTTCCTGTTCCAAACCTGTCTTCTCAGCCTTTGGAAAACAAGTTAGCGCCTCAAATATCAAGATTTTTTTTTTTAAACTGAATTACCTAATTCTTCATTATAATTCTGATGATAGTAAAGTTAATGTTAACACGGAGCTTCTTGTCCTAACAAACGAAACATTATAGGGAATTTAGTAGCAGTGGATGTGTTTGACCACCGCGATAAAATATCATAACTCCATAACTCTTAATTAATAATTGTTCCGTTGGATATCTATGGTGTGAGTCAAAATTACCCTGAAATTTAAGTGGGGTAAGATTTTTTTAATTTTTAACTGACTAACTTTTAAGAGATAATATAAGCCTGGTAAATGTCAATAGTGGAGAGGGCAAAGACAGGACTTAAATATCAGCTCCTACTGTAAAAGCAAAGCAAATGTTAGGTTAGAAATGTCAGTATTGAATGTTGAAACATTATATTAAATGTTAAAATCAGAGTTTGCAAAAATGGGACAAAATAACTAAACTAACTAAAACCACTTTGGTTACACATGGATGTATTTGAAGTAGTACCTGACATTTAGCTTGTGCCTCTTTCCTGTTATTTGATGAAAATATCAATAATACCTTTAAGTAATTGGGTAAAATAACTCACATTGAATGTATTCCTTAAATTAAAAAAAAGAAAATGTAATAAAAAAAAAAACAATAACAGTGAATGATGTGCAATAATGAAAGTTTAGATTTAAAACATAACCAGAAGCTTTTTTCACCATGTGGATTCCAGATGTTTGGCGAACAAAACAAATGAGAACACATCTCTTATCATGAAGTTATTGTACCTCAAATGTTTAAAGAATGATTATACTCTTCTATTATTCTAATTTGTCGATGCTTTTCCTCAGGTTTTATAGTCTTTGTATTTGAGCCAAAGGAATTATACGGACTTGCTGATAACGTCTTATCTAACGGGCCCTCACATTACCATTTTTAGTCCTGTTTTGTGCAAGTACAGCAGCTGTGATGGATACGGCTACAAAGCCTGTGTGTGAGCCTAAATCTCAGGACTCAAATGAGCAGTTCTGGATTCAACAGTCTGCTCCTGAAATGGCCTTTTTACACGTAGAGGACCTTTATGGCTCTGCTGCCAATACTTCACCATCCCTGCTAAAACTGAGTCACAGGTCCGAGATCTTTTTGTGTGTGTGCAGCCACTGCAGATGGAAAGAGTCGATATTTAGTAGACCTTTTAGATGGCTTTTGTAGACCTCACTTACCACAAGGGAACAGCTAAATCTTGGAGGTTAGTCAGATGAGACTGCAGGACGATGGTAGGAAAAGAAAAATGAAATTCCAACACCTGAGAAAATCTCTTTCTAAAGATGAGGGTGGAAAGGGGGTTAAAGATTAAGAGTTCTAGTCAACATTTTATGATGTGGGACTTGAAAAGGGCAGCAGCAGTAGAATGTGTTGACTGCTATGAGCATTTCTGAGGCACTGTTGAATGGAAACACTCAAATTGCTTTCAATTGCGGATCAACACAAACTCACAAGAAAGTTCAGGGGTAAATCCTTTTCGCTCATGCAAGCCAGGGTAGACACTACAGGAAAACAATACAGTTTACTTTGGTATACACTTGATGGGAAGCAGAGGGTATTTTAGCAAAATGTTGAGCTAAATCAGATTGACTTAAAGTGGAACCATCAATGGAGTTACTATCAGAACCTCTGAACTGTCTTTGGTTTAAGAAGTTCAGTGTTGCTGGGACAGTGACCACTCTTTTCTCCAGTAATTAAAAATCCCTCCATTCATCCATTTTTCCATCCTTGTGTGTGTTTATGAAAACTAAATTTCCAAATTAACTGTTTAACTAAACTATTTATGTATATTTGTAGTAGTCCATGGTTATTTTCAGGCAATCTTCTGATCAGCCCACTGCCCCCCTATAACTACCCGCCAAGGTGCTGCAGTTATAAATAAAAGCAATTGAGCAGAAATGAGAAAAGTAGAAAGGGAAATTGTGGAATAGAGCTATATCTTGGTCACCTCCCTAATGAATAAACAGAAGACTCGGCAGAAGGAGAAGAGAAAAAGGTTTAGGATTAGCTCCAGAGTTGGAAAAGGAACATAAAGAGAGGTGGAGCACCAGGGAAAAGGAATGGAAAATAAAAGGTTGTGCTTGTCAGGGAGGAAGAGGGCCTTTGAGAATAACATGAATCTGATGGAACAGAAAAGAGAACGGGGAAGACGAAACATAAATGTGTAAAGGTACGGAGGCAAAGCCACCTGTACGTGGCAGCTCGTGTTTTCAGAATTACAAGTGTTAGAGTGTTTGATTATTCTGCTGACACAGCAACTCTTAGCATCAGAAGCAGTCATTTAATTGCTTGGGTTTTTTTAATTAAAGACCACAGACAATGCTTTATTTCAAACTGGCACAAAGCTGAGCTAAGAAATGGTCCTGTTGTTTCTTCAAACATCATTTTCCTTTGGTGTCATTTCTAAATTACTGCAGGGTCTATGTTTGCCATATTCCAAAGGAGAGCTAACAAGTATGCTGAACCCACACAGCTGATGGACACAACGTGCGTGTTTTTCTCAGCCGGCGCAAGTAAAACATATTTTTCATCATAAAAATAAACAGGCTGACAGTTTTTATTTTCCTGACTGTCTGTGCTGTTTGTCTTGATAATAAACGATAAGAAACAGTGGAAAACAACACAATAAAATTCCTTTCAAAGACAAATACGACACAAAGTGTAGCCCTGCGGATCGGTTTTTGCCATCTTTATGTAGTGCGGTTCCAAAATGTGTGAATAACAATTACAAGTAGCTACCCAAGTAAAGATTTGTGTAGTAGGATTTAGCTTTGTGCTCACACTATACACTTGTGTGTAGTCCTAGTGGAAAATATTAGCTTATCATTAGAATCTTTGTAAACTAGAAGAAAATGATTTGAAAAACACACACACATCTTGAGTTACATTTGTGGCTTTTAATTCAGTTACTTCATTTGTACTTTACATTCACACATTTTCCACATTTCTTCCTGAAAGCTGACCTTTTGCTGTCAGTGACCACAGCTCTACTGCAGCAGGCCAGGCTCAGACATATGGATCTGTGTTTTGTTTTTTCATAGCAGACGTGTCCTCCGCTCCACAATCGATTCGAGTCACAGACCGGTCTCACACACAGCATCAACTCTCAGACACAGGAGAACTAGGATGACTAGAGCAAAAGAGACAATACAGACCAGACTGTTGCTGTCCACTCGGTTTGGATCTTAATCAGCGCACACTGCCCGGCATTAATGAAGCCCCTATTTCAGTGAATACACCGTGATATATTCGACAGAGGGGGAAACAGAAAGTCAGCACCCCCTGGTGTCAAGATAGAAACCCATATTCCCCCGTTATCTGTGCCCCACACAAAAACACAATTAGACTTTTACTGAAAGTCAATTAATGGCTGCATATCAGAGGTAGCAGACAAGAAGATATAGGGGCTTAGGTTAATTAATACATCATTTAGCTCATTAGGAGAAAAGGGTAACACTGTTTCTGAGACGTAAATGAGGCTTTTAGTGCAGAGTGTATTTGTAGCTCTTCTGATTTAAATTAAAACCCAAGAGGTTATGGCAAATATTACAGCAATACATCTGTGGCTTTATTTAGGTGGTAGTATTATCATCAGCTATTTGTTTCTTTTTGACACTATTAATCTGTCACATATTTACCAATTTCAGCTGATGTACTGTGCAGTACTAAGGAATTTCACAATATATAGATGTATTTTGACCCCAGCACCTAAATACCATTATGGTGTTTGTGGGAGCAGTTAAGTACCACTTCAGATACTCATATAATTTGGTCTTACGTGAAGGAACATTAGCACTATTGAGAACAGTAAAAGAGGGAAATTGAATGAAACTCTAAAGCCAGTGGTCAATCAGGAGCCCTTCAAGTTTAATGTGGTGTGTAACGTGAATGTGGTTTTATCACCTGCCAGGATAATGAAACACAAAAAAGCCGAAAGAAAAAAAAATGGACCTGTTCTAGTGGAAAATGTTTTTCAGGGTTGTTATAATATTCTAACAGTCTGTTATTGAAGTTACAGTGAACCGTGCATCTGACTGCTTTCAAACAAAGGCGGTTGTTACTTAATGTATGAAAATGAACTGTTAATGTGTCAGCAGAGGAGCAGACCCCCAGGCCCCTTTAAGGTATAGAATTTGGAATTCTTGAAAAAAGCAAGCAAAGTTCTGCGGCTAAGTGTGTGGGAGGACTTTGTTTATGAGATCGACAGCAGAACTGACTTTGTAATAGTTGATCTGAGAAAAGCTTTAGGGGTTTCAGAACATAGAACCATGCAGTAGCAGTCCCTGCAGACTTTCCAATAGGCCACAGTAGGCCCATCATCAACATGATAACTGCCCTTTGCCTGTAATCTCTTTTTCCTTCTTTTGCAAGTGGTTGGAATGATTGTGAAGAAATGTTTCAAACAAACAGAGCCGCCTGGTGACGGTTGGCAACACAAAAGGAGACTGAGGACTGCAGAATAATACATTTCTAAATGGTTCTGGTCTGTTGTGTTTAACCTCTGGCTGTTCAATCAGATGTGATTGTAATGAGGTTTATTTGGTTATATTTAGTCTGTAATAGCTAGTGCTGGGAAAACTAAATATATTTCTTGTTCTCGTGGAAAAAAGATTCCAACATTACAGGAATACATGTAAATGAAACACTGCTGATCTCTCTCTCTCTCTCTCTCTTTCAATGCGTTTCTCTCTCCCCAAAACAGTAAAATCAGAAGTTGTTCCTTTGACCTTGCCTTGTTAATATTATTATATATTATTATGTTATTATTATTATTACACAATAATTATGGCCACAACACAACAAAAATACATATGAAACATAAACCACAACACAAGCTGGGAATAAAATGTAACAATTACAAAATCAACAACAAAAGAAGAGTATAACGGCGGAGCAAACACGCTCCCAACTATTGTGACCTGTCCTTGATGACGTATTTGCGTTGTTGGGCGACGTGCTGACGTGATCATGACATGACGTTTTTTTTTTGTTCGTTATGATCGCCCGCACGTTTTAGACGTGTTAATCATGGCTGACTCCTAGGGTAGTAGTGGTCAGAAGCCGTTAGGAACACCTGCATTATTACATGTGTTTACGACCGTGTATTTACAACGCTGTGACCACCGAGGTAAAGACCCGCACTCAGACCGTTAGTTTCCCTGCGACTGTCCTCTCCCTCTGTCGCGGTTTCTCGACTTGAAGTCAGGACATGTGGGTTTTCGGCTACGGCTCGCTCATATGGAAAGTGGACTTTCCTTACGAGGAGAAGAAAGTGGGCTTCATTAAAGGCTTCAGTCGTCGGTTCTGGCAGGGCAGCACTGATCACCGGGGTGTACCGGGAAAGGTAAGTAGATCCACCAACGCGCACATAGACACACATCGGCTGCTGCCATTCAGAGTGAGGGTGGAACTGCTGAGCTTTACTATAATAACAAAATGTCGTTGTTTAAACGCGTCTAAGAATGTTTTAAATCAATTGTTAAATACTTTTAAATGTTTTACAGTTCGTCTTCTAATGACACTGTATGTACTAACAACGCTATTAACTAATGCTAGATTGTTCTACATTAACCTAATGTCTTTACGTTACTAACTGTTCCTATTTCGCATGTTATTTATCTTGACTAAAGAAAAAAAACAACTAGCTGGTCCACTGATATTCACAGGCACTTTTCTGGCCTGTTCTGTTTGAGAAACCTAAACAAAACTACTGGGCATGAACAACATGATGCAACCTGTCAACAGCTTTGTCTGTTTTGAATAGGTGGATTTCAACCACTACCTGTGTTGGCTTAAAAGTTTAAAAATGGAAAAAAAATTCCAAAAAAAGAAAAGAAAATTCTTGTCTTGTATGAACCTACATACCTACTTCAGTAAGTATTGTCTGAACTTCCATTTGACGTTCTAATCTCTTTTACAGCCAGGAAGAGTTGTAACACTGGTGGAGGACCCTGAGGTAAGACATCTCTACTTAACACCGATCACATTGTAAAAGCATATTTCTGAATCATAACATTCAGAAATACAGTCACAGGAAAAGTTTGCTGTTTTATATCAATAATAAAAAACAACAACTATTTCATCATCCAGCTGTGTTAATTACTGTGCAATTGCTCTGTGCATAAAACAAAGAAAACAAGAACATCCTTCATTTATGTTGGCATGTTAAAAATAATATACCAGTGTCTCACCAATTAAGGATCATGTTCAAAGTCTAGGATACAAATGAAATTCATCACCATTTTCTGGAATGGAGTGGAGTGGAGGAGAACACATTCACCTAATGATTGGTTCTCTCCCTACAATGTTCAGTAGTTCACTGTGCCTGTTACATGACCTGTTCCCCTGAAGAAAACAAATGACAGCAACAGCCAGTGAAAAACACACTTGCATAATTGAAAACAATCTGGTTGGTTCCACTTTGTCTAAAGGTAAAGCACGGGGTAGTGCTGTGTTAGCCTGTTGGGGTCTCCTAGGAGAACAGTTTCTAATCAAGCAATGAATACATATTCAAATGATTGCCACTGTTCTCAGTATTAGACAGAACCTATAGAGACCATGCTACATTATTATTTTGGACAAGCATTCAAAGAGATCTGAAGCCAAAATACTAATTCAGGAAGTAGGGCTGTCAAATGATTACAATTTTTAATCTGATTAAGTGTAGAAAATCCTAATTAATCCTGATTGTTATTAAGAATGATTAATCAAGATCAATTCAGGTATATCTACATTACTACATATAACAACATGTTACGTGTAAGTTTTTCAAATCTGTTTTTTTTTTTTTGGACTAATCCAAATGATGGAATTAATAAAATGGAATAGTTCAAGAATATTATGTAAAAGTCCAAATAGTAACAGGTAAATGGATCTTATAATTCTATTCATACAAAAATCACTCTGTGTTCTTTGTTACAACACTTGACCTCATCTTGCAGGGATGTGTTTGGGGTGTGGCCTACAAGCTCCCAACAGGCCAGGAGCAAGAGGTAAAGAACTACCTTGACTTCAGAGAAAAAGGTGGTTACCAAGTCATCACTGTGACCTTTCACCCCCGTCCACCTCTCGCACCTCCGCCCAACCAGACGCTGCTCTACATCGGCTCTCAAGACAACCCCGACTACCTCGGCCCGGCACCTTTGGAAGACATAGCCAGGCAGATTGTCAGCTCCACTGGACCAAGTGGGAAAAACTCAGAGTACCTTTTCCAGCTGGCCAACGCTGTGAGGACAATTCTGCCCGAGGACTCAGATGATCACTTGTTTTCTCTGGAAGCTCTAGTGAGAGAGAGACTACAAAATAGGCAAAAACACACCAGCCATCCTAATAGCTGTGGTAATATTCAAATATCTTGAACAATGCATTGAATGGCATTATAGGAAAATCTCAGGGATTAGAGTATATGATATGATATATATACATTAATATATTATCTCAATCCTGTATTTATGACACCTGTTTATCCATTGAAAAAAACTTGAAAAATAATGTGCATGGGGCCAACTCAGGACATGTGGTCCGTCTCTCATGGGTTGGCATCTAAACAAACAAATAAGAGCTGGGTCATGTTGTCTACATTTGATAAATGCAGAGAAAATCATCTTCATTTAGTCAAAGTAAATCAGCTTTCCCAGATTTATGGAGGTGTGGATTTATTCCGACAGGAGTGACAGTGCAACATGAAGGTAATTTTCACAGCTGTCATCGCATCTGACTTGAAGTATTCTCTAACAAGTAAACAGAGGTTTGGGCAAAGATGGTTTCCTTGTTGTAGGCGTTAACTCATCCATGAGTTGATTGCCTGACTGTGAAATGTTATCGGCGAGAGCGAGAAAGTGCTTAGTAGTGATTAGGTTTGTGAATATTTTAGTAAATACCTTGCTAGTAATTTATAGGCATAATTATGATTGGACTGATATTTTAGCTTGAATTGCCCTTCTAGAAAAGTCCACTGTGTTAGCTTAGCTGATCAGATTGTACAGTTCATTTCTAAAGGTGAAAGGAAATATAAAATGACTTTGCTGATGCTCTGAGTGTACGCTAACCTGCATTAAATAATAAAATATTTTCCTTGCACTAGGATAAGCTCTTTTTCTGCACATGTACGTCTTTCTTTCTCCCCTCAATAATTAAATTAATGTTGTTTTTAACATTAGCTACTGTGAAACACTAAATACCTTGTATGTGTCCAGGACAAAAACAAAAGGTTGCTGAACTCAACACATAACCAGGTTTTAAAGACAACAGTGTCTCATCATCATACTTGATGTGAGACAGTGTTATCATACAGTGTTTACAGACAGGTGGAAGAAAACTGGTATTTAAAGGCGGTGCATTTTTGGTCATTGTGACCGTGTTTCCACTTTGGCTGTACGTAAAAATAAAGCAGGTGAGGCAGGAATCCAGTGGGAGAGGAAACTGAAACAACATACTGTATAAGAGACCAAGTTCATGTTGTCAGGTTATCTGATACACCTTGTTGATTCCACCCTGCTCTTCCCTTGTCTCAGTATCTGTATCTGCTGCTGCTCCAGCATCGGAGATCACCTTCTTCTCATTCTGACTGCACACTCCTCAGCACAGTGAACGGATCAAAAAACATCAGCAGTGAATCAGTAACAAGTCAATGTGCTCAACAAGTCTTGGTAGAAAGCTTTGTGATGCTGTTATTTCCTACTGTACCTCATGTATTTATACAGACAAACAGGCTGTGTGTGTGTGTGTGTGTAACTGTATGCTGTTGATATAATAGGTATTTTTAGCATGCACAAATTCTGCATGATCAGTCGACCTTGAACACACCACACTCATTCTTCACATTCAGTTGAACTGAATGAACATGTACTGTACGATTCATCTGTGTGTGGTATTCACAGTTATGTATGTGCGTATGTATATGTGTGTGTACATATACACATGTACATATGTCTGTACCCATGTATACATATGTATTTATATTAATACAAATACATACCTAACTGTGAATATTGCATACAGCTGAATTGTATGAACATATTCAACAGTGACAATAATGAAGGTTGTCCTTGCAGTATGAAGTATTGTGTTAATTGTCTGTCTGTGTATATTGTGTGACTTAACTGTATTACATGGCGTACTTACATCAGATGAAACACAGGCATGTGTTGAGCAGCAAGAGTTCACGCTGCTTCAGAGACATGAGGCCAACAATAGCTGCAGAGCAACTCTGATTGGTTTCTGCGTTCCATGTACATTTACATTTAATATTTCATTGAAATCAGCCGTGCTAATTGACATTTGCAGTACATTGTCAGTGTTAACTGTACTGTATAAAGTACAGGGATGGCAATGCACCGGTGGCCATGAATGCAGCAATAGAGACAGACAAGAAAAGGCTTTTTTGGTGTTGAACTTTTATCAGTGTAGAAACAAAGCTCTCATCATGTTTGAACTTTTCTCTCTCTGTTTGCAGAACCTAATCTACTGTGACAAGCTCCTGTACTTGATGAATGAACTGCAGGTATTTTACATGATCACTCAAACCAGCAAACACACAGCAAACAGCACTCAGTCTTCTTGTTAAATGAAATACATGTCACTTAACTGGAAAAAACAACAGTTAATTCCCAGCGTCGAGTTACTGTGCAATAAAACAATGAGACAATGAATAGGTACTTAGTACATTTTGGTGTAACATGTTAGCACTTGTTTAGGTATAAATACATTTATTAATGTACATTTACATCCATTATATAGTTTAAAATTATATATATGTATATATATATATAGTTTGTAGCTTTGATATTATAATACAGTTAAATATCTGCATATTATTTTCATATCTGGCATTTTGGAATAAATCAATGGCTGCATATACCTATGTATTCAACCACAATAAAAATACACAAACATGAAAGTTGTATGTACAGTGGCCACCTTTGGGGCTTATAATATGTCTCTGTGACTCCAAAGAATCTCCAAAAAAAAAAAAAGACATGAAGATGTTCTCCAACAGCTCTGACTCTCTCTTTTCATAGCAGCCATGCTAAAGAGCCAAGCTCACCTAGGTGGGCTGTGGATAATGGGAGCAGGGCTGCAATAGCTGTAATTATTTCCAGTAAATACAGTAAATAGTTTTCACACCGATTAAGTGAAATTGGATAATTTTATGCTGTACACCTGGTGGTCTCTCACACACACTAATGTGCCGCAGCTCACTGATGTACTGTGTACTGTCGATCTTTTCTTTTGCTGAAGGCCAATATTGTCAAATGACTCATTTGTAGCGGGAGCTCTGAGCCACCGTGCCGACATTTCCCTATATTTCATTTCATCATGCTGCTCATAGGTCTGAGCAGCATGATGCCAGAGTTGCCAGAGTTAAACAGGGTAATCAGGGTTCTGTGCCATCGGTCAGACCTGCTGTACAGGATGTGGCGAGGCAGTTTGCTGTCTATGCATAGTAACAGGGTGAGACCAGCAGGTCTGTGAGCACCAGCAGCTGATCGTCAGTGAAGCATTGCCGATGCTCCTGCCAGTTATCATGGTGAGTGCGTCTGAACTCAGACAGGGTCTTCTTCACCGTCATCTGGGGACAAAGCACATCACACCAATTAGAACAAATGAATGAGTTGCACACAGCTCTGACCAGCACGCATAGTTGATCACAGAGTGATGTGTCATATCAGAGCCAGAGCTACAACACTCCATACACAGACTGTGGTGCCATCAGTAGTATCAGATGAGTTGGACTAAGGATGTTTAGAGCTCACAGACAGGGAAGAAAAACAACAACATAACAGTAGACATGGTTTAGAAGAGTTGTTGTAACAGTAGAGTGACAAAGAGAGACAGAAATATCACTGTGGAAACTCCTGAAGGAAGGAGACACAAAGACCCAGTGTGGTATAAACTAAAAACTCAGCTTCCACCAAACCAATATGAAGATCCCACGAAGACATAAACACCTCATTAAATCCCTCCAATAATCTGATTATGGAAAACCAACAGAGAGGCAGTTCATTAGTGGTTTTAGTTTTGATTCCTCTGCCGTATTTGCATTTTGGTTTTACTTCTAATTCGACCAATTACCAGTTAGAACCAGGCGGCTATTCTGAGCTTTAATGTGCACAACAAGATTCATAAATCTTTGAGCAATGCAATAACTATGTAACGCTGGGAAATGAGACTAAATAATAATTAAATATGTGAGGTTTTTTTAAAAACTTCTACACTTAATATTTTTATGCCACAATTTAACTTTACCAATCTGCATATTCATGTTGGTTCTTGTAAATATTTCTTTATCAGGGCCTCTTAGTGGAAATGTGGTTGGAGTTTTTTGCCTTATGTTGAGAATGTCAGCAGTTTGATTCTTAGTATTAACTGATCTTAATGGACTTTACATGTTTTTCATGTGTGGCATTGGATTTATTGTTCACTCTGAAATTGACCAGAGGTGTGAATATAAGTGTGAATGCTTGCTAGTCGCTGTCCGTGATGTACCTTACCTTCTGATGGCTGCTGGGATCAGCCAAAATGATAAAAGTGATAAAAGGTGACTAAATAAATGCACCTTTATCAAGTCATTAATACCCTAGTACTATATATTATTTTCATGTCATTGATGTTTATTTCTATTTTGTAACCGCTTTTTTTTATTACCAGATTAATGTTTTTAAGTAGAATCATGCAAAAACACAAACTATCAACGGGCTGTGTGGGTTTGCGCATCTTAAAGAATACAATATTCCATCTTTTTGAGCAAATGTACATTTGGAAACTTTTTGTTTATCACAATTAGGATGCTTCCATTATAGCCTGCAGTGAAATGCTGCAATGAGGAGGATGTTGATAGTACTTTGTCTCGCTTCATTTGTTTTGAGGGCCACAAAAAAAGTTAAGAGCACATAACAGCTCTTGCAAACAGCCTGTGTCTATTCTTAGATGGAGAGCTACCATTAAACTTAAGAGTGGAAAATGAATATGGCTGAAAATAAGTAATTGGTTCCTCTTTTAAGCAGTAACTCTGGAGATTCACAGTGTAAAATTCAGCCCAGGATCCAGCTGCATCTAACAGTCTTTCCCACAATGGTGTCATTTGCTTACATTGATTAAAAACTGATGAGATCCTCATAATTTATGAATGTAAAAGTGCCGGATGGAACAATATAAATACACAGCACAGGAATTATTCAATAAGAGAGACGTCTGGAACGAACAGTTAGCATGGCTTATCAAGGACACGAAAACAGAAAACAAAACCAAAGATCAGCAATACTATAGATTTTATCATCAGCCAAAAATCCAGAGCACTCACTTGACAATGTGAGTGCTAAAACACCCAACTAAATCAGACATTTAGAGGAGAGAGAGAAAGATGTCACCAGGCAAACCACCAAAATTCTGATTTGGCACATTTCTGATAATGTTCACACAAACTGTAGACTGACTTTGAGTTATACATTGCTAACCTTAAGCATCTCTAGGGCTAATAGCAGTCAACTAGTGTACTGCAGCAACTCTTAGTTGTTGAAATTGATACTGCTTCTGCTATTGTCTCAAATAGAGTTGACAAGAAAGTTGAAATAATTTGTAGAATGGAGTCCAAAGTTGGATGATTAGATTTAATTACATTATATTATATTACGTTATATTAAAGTAACGCATAACTTAAGTGCTTCACATTTTTCCACTCCACAAAAGCAGCTTTACAATAATGTTGTACTTATAATTAACCATCTGAATGATTTCACTCTGTGTCCTGTGTGTTTTTGTACGTGGGAAAGCAAAAGGCACAGTTTTCTTCTCTGTTGAATGAAATTTATCTCAGCTTACTGTGAGACCTTACTGTGTTTAGAGAGGTATCTGTGTGTTAATAGGTGCCTGTGTTTGTGTGTGTGTGTGTGTTTGTGTTTGTACCTCTATAGGCTGTGGGTCATTGAGATGATCACTGATGTCCATCAGTATCTGAGGCATCCACTCTGGGACGTCGTAGGGGCTCGACAGGATGCACGCACTGAGGCCAAGCACTCCAGCATGGCGCCGCACTAGGTCTAAATACACACACACACACACACACACACATATGCATTTATGTGCCTGTCACAACCAGACAGTGAGGCAATCACAATAATACTTGCCCTATTACCCTTTCTTATCCTGGGGGATTTGTGAACCTTGAAATGATTAGGCCTATTTTAACTGTCCATTTGTAGTGCGAGTAAGTGTGTGTGTGTGTGTGTGTGTGTTTGTGAGTGTGTACCTGTAGAGGCCAGCTCTCCTCTGGCCTTGGGGAGTCGTGTCTGACTCAGCGTCTGGAGCCGTGTCTGCAGACTGAGGTCCAGAGGGAAGAAGTGGCACTGCAGTAAACCACTGAGGGTGGTGGCTGCCATGTCCCTCACCTGTGAGAAGGAGAAGGAATGAGGGGACAGGAGGGACAGCAAGGTCAGAGAAAGAAAAAGGAGATCCTTGAAGATCAGAGCAGAAAATGTAAGGACATAGTGAAGAGTGCACGGCAGTTTGAGGGCAGGAAATGCATACACGATTTATAAAAAGGAGAGGGACAAAATGAGGTTTGTTGAACGGAGACATGGAGGAGGAGGAGACAGTGGTGACGGTACAGACAGAGGAGAAAGGAAGGTGCTAGGTTGAGCTGTGGTGAAATTCACTCGCAGAACGTCACTGTCTTCCTGCTTCACTTTACATAAATAATGAATAAGCACTGAGTGAAGGTTGATCCATTGGAACAGACATGGAGACACAGACAACACACCCACCAGCTGCTGGCTCACAAAGTTTACAAAATATTAGGCAAATTAGCTGGTGTTGTAAAAATGTGTGTGAGTGTTGAACACTGTGCATCTAGATCAATGGAAATAAGTCTTTAGAATTAGAAGCAATGAATGTGAAGCATCGATTTAACCACAACTGAATAATAAGTATTAGCCAGGACGGACAGTCCTGAATGCATTTTGCAAATTCATATTTTGGAGATTAGATTGAGTTGTCCTGTTTTTTCCTCAGATGACTTAAATTACAGCCTGCTAAAAAAAATGTGCAAGGCAGCCATGGTGCAAATTACCTGCAACCACTGACGAAGAGAAATGCATCCAAACAGGGAAATGAATCATGAGCTCAGCCGTGAGGAAGAAGGTTATTTTTAAGCCATAACCGTGAATTGGTGGATAGATGAAGATGTAGTGAGGAGAGACCAGGGGACAATAAGTGACCATTTATAATCCCCTGACAATTAAAGCTCACAGAAGGGACGGTGGCCGCATTAAACCGCCGTCTGCTGTGTTTCTTTGCCACAGGGCTTTACCTCCAGCTGCTCATCCAGCAACAGCTGCATCACCAGCTTTTGGATCTGGAGCACCTCGTCGGCCATGCTGAGCAGAGTAAACAAGTTGTAGAAAACCATAATCTGGACGTAGGTGAGCACTGAGAAGCGTGCATGCCATGACCTGCTGCCAACCATCTAAGGAGAGGAGGGAGGAGAGGGGAAAAGAGAAACAAAGATGGCTGAGGTGTGTACAACTTTAACTGGACCTTGTGCAAATTGAGATTTATAGGATTGTTTGTAAAATAATTCCTGGTGGTACAGTAGCAATCAAATGATCATTTTCAAACTCCCAATACACTGTATCAATAATCGTTTTTCAGTATACTCTTTATCTTAATCCCCACCTTCTCAACACCTCACTATGTGTTTCCATTTTTCAAGACTAAATTACCAACTATATTATGTGTCATGCAAAGTATTAAAAACAGGCAACGTTCTCCTGATAAAAAATCATGTGCGACTTATTTGAATCAATCAACAGACTCGGGAGTCTGAAAGGCTTAGCAGATCCAGACCTCATCGCTGGCTGGTACACGATCTGTCACGCTGGTCCGCAAAGGTGTGGAGAGTTTTTTAAAATGTGCTTAGAAAATGGTCTCCAACGTACAGGGAGAAACATTAAGGCTCATATTAGATTAGCTTTATGGGCTCCCCAGTGCTCTGTCACACAGATGGCAGTGTCACCACAGAAGAAGACAGGATTTCTCAGAAGAACCAAATTAATCTGGCAACTCGTTGAATACATTAATGAGCGGATTGATGGTATTTTCAGAAAGCATCATTTGGCTCAGTGCCTATGAAACAAGCATCACTAGTGAGTTACTGAGGGGTGCAGACGCATTAGGACAAACGCTTGTAAAGAACACTTTATCATTTGGAAATGCATTCAACCACTGATATCTACTTTCAGCGAGTATGAAGTATTTAAAAGTTACACTTAAATATTTCAAAGTAGAGAGTTTGTCTTTTTAACAAATTTTTACTAAGGAAAAAAAGGAGGCCAGCTGCCAGAACAAAAAGAAACAGTACCAAAGGAGAACAAGGCCGTTGTACTACAAATGTATGGCGTAGTAGGGTACACACCGTGTTGTTGGTGTAATGATAGCGTCTGAGAGCAAATATTTCTCCGAAGGGCACCGTTCACATACAATATTCACGACAGAAAAGCGGCAAGCAACGTAAGGCGAGCACGGTAAGATAGCACCGGTTGTTTTAAGTCCAGCGGTACCTCAGACAACACCAGGCTCTGGCTGACCACTGACAGGAGGCGGTACTGGCACCTCTGTGTGTGTGAACGCATATTACCTCTGCTAGTGCTGCCAGAACCACGGGAATGTGCTCAGGATACAGAAGGCCCTGGGACATGAGAGAGAGACACGTGCGCGCATCCTGCTTCATCTCATCATAGCTCTCATCAATCTCCACCGGGGCAATCTGCAGGAGAGAGGGAGAGAGAGAGGGAGAGAGAGGGAGAGAGAGGGAGAGAGGGAGAAAGAGAGAGAGAGGGAGGAAAGACACGGCTACGCACTTTGAGTAAATGAAGAGAGAAATTGAGTTTAATGGGCAAGTAAGATTGAGTGGGTATTAATGCTGTGCTGGGACCTGTGTGTGTGTGTGTGTGTGTGTGTGTGTGTAGGTGGGTTATTACCTTGAAGAGTAGGGGCAGAAGCTGTAGCTGCTGCTGAACAGGAGTAGTAAAAGTTCTCCCCGCACTCGCCATCAACCATTTCAACACTGCAAATTACACACACACACACACACACACACACACACAAAGGTCAGATTCTGGATTGCTGCCAAGTGATAAAAACAACAGACTTGCTGGTGTGACCTTTGTGTGTCGCTCTGATGATATAGCACAATCTATCATGATTTAGTGTCTAATGATTTGGATAATTTTATAACCTGATATTTATCTGTATCAGGGGGATTAGAGGAATAAGACAAGCGGAAAGAGCAACAATGAACAAATATTAATACACACAATTACATCTAAATTCCCCTGATGACAAGAGAATGGATAGGAGGCGATACAGAGTCAGCTTTAAAATGATGAATGATCGTGAATTTCTCCACAGCTTCTAATAAATCTGTGAATTTGGGTTATTTTTTTAATATTAATATTTAATATATTTTTTAATTGTATAAATGTAAAAATAAAGAAATAGTTAAGAAAGAAAAAGCAGAAAAACATGCTACAACATGCTTAGATGCGCACTTTTTTATTTCTTAAAAAATAAATTAACCAATTAGTCCATTATTTAAAGAGGTGTCAGTTAAATTAGTAGTTTGCAAGTCCCTGATAAACAAACAAATCTTTAAAACACCATATAAAGTTTTTTTCCCCCTGGTTTTTAGACACTGTGGTTTACTAAACTCAAAAATATGTCTTTACTGTTGTATTACAAAAGATAAAATATTTATACTGCTCTGGGCAGTGAAACTAGAAAAGGAAAACTCAAAGAATAACACCAAATCTGTGTGCACTTTTTACATCTGAATTGTACTTTTCCGTTAAGCTGGGAATTCACAGAGAAGTAAAATGAAAAGCGTTTATCTCACTGTGATGGATATGAGGCTGGAACTGAAAGGAAACGTAATAACGTCAAGTAAGAAAACACTGTGTGAACTATGGACATATTAACGTTGGAGTGGTATTGAATTTGAACACTTTTTAAAATGCTTGAATGGATGATCTTGACCTTCACCTCTACAGCCTGATAGACTGACTGAAAGAACAGGCTCAGTAGAGGACTGCAGCTTTTAATTTCAAGAATCCATTCAACTTCATCACGTTTCCCAGTTTCACACTGTTTTCTCTTGAATCTCCACATCACCATAGATTTTACATGCACTCTAATTCTGACCCGTCTTGAGCAGCTTGACAGCCTGAGTGCGCTCGTCCGTCTCCTGTGCGTTCTCCTCGTGGATATGGTTGTGAATTTCAGACTCAGACGTGAGCGGTTTGAGCCGCTCCACGACCCGAGCGACAAACTGTGCCACGTGGGGGGAGGAGGTGGCGTGGGTGTGGGGCAGAGCCACGTCTATCATGAAGATGTAGGTCAGGACACTAGAGGGTGGGCGGGACGCAGGGATTGGAGGAGAAAACGACAGAAGGGGGAAATGGAGAAGAAACGAAAAGAAAATAAGAATTAACAATGAAAAGAAACATGGATGTGAATGCTTTCAGGTTCACTCCTCAATGACTACGCACAATCTAGGTCTAGGTGTAGGTTAGGTGTCCAGCCGTGACCTCTGCTTTGGCTACTAGTCAGCATTGGCGTGGACATCCGTTTGATTTTTGTGGACAGTAAAATACTTAAACTAACATGTCCATTTGTTGCCCACAATTCTAAAATATTCTGCTTTGTTTTTTAACCTAAACTGTAAACAATCAGCTGCAACTGTGCAGTGTCTTTTTCTCCTTTTCTTCTGCTGCATCAAGTAAAAAGTAGTAAACAGTCAGCAGCCTCCTATTATATTTCAATAAATGTCATTATGATGATTTTATACAGAGCAGCCTTCATGCCTTAAACTCGTGACTCCAGTCTTGAACAGATTTTAGGCTGCAGGAAGCCCCAGTCGCTCATGTGATAGTCAAAGAGGCAGACCCCTGACCTAGTTTTACAAAATGTGAAGTCCTCAGGAGATAATTTGGTACCTTCCAATACGTTCCCTGACATCCTTATACACTTGGGTGAGTTTGGGCTCCAGGTAAGCCAGCAGTCTGTGCAGCAGCTCAGAAACTCTCCACTGCTGCTGGGCCAGACCTCCCTGAAGCATGTACAGCAAACTGACAGAGAGAAAAGGTGGGGAGGTGGGAAAGAGGGGGAACGGGGTAAAGCATCGTGTTATTGCAGCATTTCTGTTCACCGTGTGTCAGCTGGGGTTACCAGCAACAGGAATTCAGCAAGTGCAGAAATACTCTGGAAGACAAACGCAGCCTCTGAACATATAGCTATATTTAAGCCTACAGACTCATGCGCACACGTACCTGGCGTCCCTGAATGACCCTCCTTCTCCACTGAGGGGACACTCCATCAACAGCTCAAACAGCCAGTGGAGTTTCCTTGGGTCCCTGCCCTCCTATTGGACAGAAAGCAGCAACATAAACAGATATAAACCCCATATATGTGTCCTATTGTTTCAGCTTGCTACATATACAGTATTTATACTCTGACATGCTGTGTGCAGATGTGCTTCCAGTTTCACCTCTGCTGAAAAGAGACTAATAGCTACTGTTTTAAAGCTGTGGGTGGGTTTTGTTGTACGGTACATTCGTGTATAATACCGCGGTTCCCAAAGTAAGGGACGGGCTCCCTTATGTGGCACAAACTATTAAAGAGGGGGCACAGTAAGGTAAAATACATGTCAGTTTCAGTGTCTTCACTTTCTTTACTTTTTTATCTTTTCCTTCTCAAATAAAGGTTAATTCATATGCTCCTGCTATTTATTTGTCTGTATTATATAACAATAATAATTCTTGACATCTGTTTTAGGTGAAAGGCAGAAGTAACTTGAGTTGGATGTGGACTGCAGGCGGGGACTGTGAGATCTCAAAATTAAAGGTAAGAAAGACTTAGGACTTGAAACAAAGGAAAATAACTGCTGTAAGAAAGTTTGTTGTCAGCTGTGAAATGACCTCTGATGACGGCAAAGTGTGTAGTTAGCCAAATCTAAATGACAAATTGGTAGGAAAAAAGTCAGACAGAGGATAAAACCTCCAGAATAAAAGGATCTCGACCACATGCAAAGGTCAGTATTTGGTGTGCAGACAGTAATCCTTTGGCCGTTTCCTTTTAGCACTGCCCTTAGTTTTTATTTGGACGTTCTCCTTCCTGTCTGTCTCTTAACTGCTAGCCTTGCAGAGTGAACGTTTAAGATCAACATTAAACTTTTTTTTTATCAGGAACCCATTTAAATATGAACTGACATTCAGTCCTGGGTCAAATCGCTTTGTAACACAAGATTTTTACCCACTCCAGCACCAGTGGCATTCTGGGTATCTCTTAACACCCCTCTTCATATGTAAATAACCTTGATTATTTGCAGTGACAGTAGTTTTTTATAAAATGGGACAATGCCCTGTAGCTCAATGTGGGTGAGGATAAGGTGAGAAAAGGCATGAGAGCTCCTAAAGGAAAGAACTTTCTACTTTGTTATGATAAGTGGAAGCACCCAGAGACTCAGCGTTTCAAAAATGTAGAGCTGAAACCAACGACCACAATCCACGCAGTCATTAGTCAACCCACAAATCCAAACTGTGTAGATTTCCTCTGTCAGACAACCCAGAGAAAATGCTTGCTGGACATTGGATTTTATACCATCAACTTCTTCCTTTTCTTTTTTTTTCTTCCTCCCACAACTTTAGCACGCTCTTGACCTCAAAATTCACAGACGCTGACACAGAGGGAAGAAAACAAGACAAAAAAAAAAAAAAAAAAAAAAACAAAAAAAAAAAAAAAACAAAAAAAAAAAAAAAACAAAAAAAAAAAAAAAACAAAAAAAAAAAAAAAACAAAAAAAAAAAAAAAACAAAAAAAAAAACAAAACACAAAAAAGCAGAGCAGACACATGGAGTCTGACATTTAATTGCTTTTTTTTCCTAGTGAATTGACCCAGACCGAAAAAGTCAAAGTACATTCTCTAATTTCACTGTGAAACTTTCCGAAACCTGGAATTGAATCAGGGGCAGACCACTGAAGTTTGGACACCATTTACAGACCAGCAAGCTACTGTACGGCAACGAGAAAAATACATTTATATTTGGGGATTATTTGAGTTGGTAATGTTTCTATATAGTTTCTTTTTAAATTTAATTTCTCCAAAGTGTTTATTGAATTTAAACCTCCCAGACCTAATCTTGACCACTTCTCTTATTGAACATTAACAGATCGATCCCCAGATTTCTTTGATAAACACTAAGTTGCAGTTGGAATTAGATGTGTGTGTGTGTGTGTGTGTGTGTGTGAAGGTGAGTGACTCACACATGCGGTGGCGATACAGGTGCCCCAGTCTGTGTAGGTTTCCACCGTGACACTGGTTAATGCTGTTCTGATTAACGGGCACAAGAGCTGCCATAACCTGTCCACCTGAAAACACACACACAAAATAATGACATTTTGCTAAATTAATATTGACTTTTCTTATCAGAAAGCACAGAGTGAATTCGCTGTGTGTGTGTGTGTGTGTGTGTGTGTGTTTCAATACTTTGCTAAAACTCCAGAGTTTGCTGCCTCTGATTAGTCCTGCAGTAATCTCACACACGCAGCGCTGCGAGCTCTCATGGGGGTCGCTGACAAGCTGCTCAAGGTGAGGCCATAGTAACGGCAGGAACACATCGCCATAGTTACGAAATAGCCCCTGTCAATCAAGCGTAAACACGGAGATTCGGTCAATGTGGAGGAGCCAAGGCCTTTTTGTTGAACCAAAGAAAAGACGGATCACTGTCGTTCGTTTGACACATGTGAACTGTCAGCTGAGAACGATGAATCACAGCAGTTGATGACACAAATTTCAACCCTGCAATGTTCAATTCACGCCGTTGGCTGCAGATGCTGTGCTGTGCCACTTCTTTGTAAAAGCTTTGCCAGATCGATTGAGGCTGCAAATTTAAATTGTACCTTGAAGAGACAAAAGCGCCGCGGATTGAAGTGGTCTTTTCCTTTCCGATCCTCCAGTGAGAGAAACCCAATAAGCTGCTCAATAAACTCCGGGTCTGAGAAATATTCAAAGATGATCTTTTCACCCTGTGTGACACACGAGCACATAGTAGATGTAATAACAGTGGTACAGGATGGGAGATTTGCTGTGTGTTTATGCAGTGTGAGCTTGCACCTCTGTCATCTCCTCATAAGACAGGCCATCTTTTGGCTTCTCAGAAGCTGCATAAATCATCAGTTCCCTGCGAGCGGCAAAAGACAAAGACAATACTGGGGTGATTTATAGATAACAATGGACAGAAAAAATATGGATAGACACGCACTGTCTTCAGATAGGATAAATGAATGATTAAAAAGTCAGATAGTCAGCAAACCATCCGCATACCAAGACAGCCAGCCAGCCCTCCACCTATACATCAATGCTTCTATGTAGGCCAGGCACTAAGTCGTTCAGTCAACCTTATCTAGGCCATGCTATGACAGGAAGTCAGTTCAACAGCCTGCTAAGTTATACTGCCTCCAGGATCAGTGGAGGCAGTTAGTCAGACATAAAGTTAGCCACAAAGCCACGAGGATAAGAATCAGCTCAATCAGACAGTTAAGTCAATCGGCTATTTAGCTCCATCCGACTAAGCGGTTAATCAGCCTTCCACTTTCTAAATCCACCGGCTGAACCCTCCGTCACTCTCCCCACCTCGGCCATGAGTAGTAGCCCCAGTGGGGTTTTTCCACATGGTGCTGAGAGTCCCACTCTTCCTGAGTGAGGGGCAGGTTGTTGCTGTCGTACTGCAGCCACTGATTGGCTTCACGGTCACCGACGCACACACCACCTGGATCCTCGATGCCACCTTTAAAAACACAGTTCTTTGTAATGACTCAGGCCAAAATTCTTCTAAGAGAAAATATTTGTTTGTTTTTTATTTGTTAATGAAGTCGGACCGTATATTTAAAATTCAACTATTCGTTGGATCATTAGCTGGATTAGAGTGAGTTGTGCCTGTGTAGATGCCTACTGATATCTGACGCCTTTACTGCCACTTTCTTCCTTGGACGTTTCAGCTGTTTTAGCATGCCAGCCGTTGCTGAAATTGCCAACTAAGAGAGGGAAAAGAAAGAAAGAAGAGTGAAACAACCTAAGGGCACGGTTTTTGCAATTTCTTTTCCTCCATTTTGTAAGTGATTGTATTGAATGCTCAGGAAAACCTTGACTATGTTGCATAACAAACAGCCTAGAATTAAAACCTCTTGTTTCTTATAACTATTCGAAACATTCTTTAGATCAGGGTTTTATATGTTTTTCTGTCTGTGGTTATACCTGCTCCGGTTATTATATAGTCCTCTGCTCACACCTTTTAAACTGATCTAAATGGGCAATTATTATCAGTTGAGTTCATCTATATTGTGTAAAGATCCTGTTTTGGTTTGATTTGGCACATAACACTTGACAGGATGAGGTGAAAATCCTTTGTTGTACCTACAACTGAAACACATCTGTGTCCCAAATCAGCTTGATACACTGATTTGACTGGCTTTTGATAACGTTTACACTGAAAACGATTTATAAAACAATCTGCGCTGTGCAAGGTAAAAGACATTTGTATTCTGCTGGTTGTTCAGAATTTGATTGTCCCGCTCCCTCCTTCACAGTATTTCCCTTACGGAGCTCTGCTGACAAAACTTGACCACACAGCAAACCTGTCAGTGAAATGATCTTAAGTCGGCAAGTCTGAAAAACTAACAAGGTCTGCAAGGCACAAACTCAAAAAGAGAGTCTCAGAGATATTTGTGCGTGTTTGACGTTTAATGCACGCCTCGTTTTGCATGTGATTGACCCGAGTTTCAGATACTCCTCAATCTGCACACATTTATCCAAACACACCCACTCAGACACAGCTGCGGACCTTCCGTATGCTGATGGAGTCATGTATAAGGCTTTGTGTGAAATAGAGGACGGCATCCGTGGGCAGAGGGTGATCCTCTCTGAGCAGGACACACAGTAGCTCTGTGGCCATGTGCTCAAACTTCCAGGGCCTTAAAACACAAACAAACAAACAAAGCTACATGTCAGGTAAAAAGGACTGGTGAGGTCACCTTTAAGGTCTGATAGATATTCAAAAATAGATTACGTCTGCATGAAACAAATTTGGAAAAACTCTTGTGGTCCTTGTGGACCTTGTAATTTTTCCACTAATAAAAAGTAATGCAGTATTTGCTAGCCTTGTGTATTTTATTGAATGTATTTATTTTTTATGCATTTATATGAAATGCATTACTCTATATTGTAAAAAAAAACCTACAGGTCTCTGTCTTCGAGGCAATCCAAAAGGCTATTCACCAGCTTTTCATACTTCCTGTAAATAAAGAATAATAACTGGTCAGAAGTGGCAGAAATGAACTAGTGGTAAAATATATATATAAAAAAATGCTTAAATAGACTTTATAACAGGGGGTATGGGTGGCATTTGAGCATTTTCATAACCAGCAGCGTCATTTCCCTGAAATAGTTCAGTGGTGAGTATACGGAGTGTAACGTGTATGTTAAAATGTTTTACCTCGCAGCGACAACGTTTCTGATTCTCTGGCGCTGGCGTCCCTCTTCCAGCTCCTCAGCAGATGGAGCTTCTAAACTAGGCATTGGATTTACAGACTGTGCTATTAAATTGGCAATTAGTAGACATTCATCTGACACCTAGAACAGAAAGTGGACAAAGGGGAGCAATATGCAATTAATGAAATACCGGATGAAGCCAGTTTCTTGTCTTTTGACAGAAAAATGGCTCACTGTGAAATAGATCCCGATGGTGTCGTAATGCCGAGTGATCCTTTCAGTGACGTTATCCAGAAGTCGACTAATTGAGGGCTTTTCCAGAGTCAGGGGAGGTGACAGGCCGCAGCGCACCAAAGCAGGCCACACCTCTCCGACACAGTCCCAGTCTCTCGCACTCGCCAGGCTGACACCACTGTGCACACCCAGCAGACAGTACAGAGCACCCTGAGTAATAAAGACAGAGATGTAGATTCATACAGACTTTTGCTGAAACGAAGAATGAAAACTGCATGTTTGGTCCGATTTAGTGCAACATTGTGACTACTCTGCAAATTACAGCTAAAAATACTGGTCTTTATTTTGACTTGTGGAAAATATAGAGTCGTTTCATGAAGGAAAGATGGGCATGCAAATCTTCTGTGTAGCAGGAACAAATGACTAGAGAGTGGGTTAAATTTCTACAACGTACGTTGCATTTGTACTGGCTTTCTCTGTTCTTTTTTGTCATTTGTGTACTTCCCAGTACAAATACTGTAAAGAGATCCTTCTCTAGGTAGGGTTCCAATTAATATGCAATGGACTGGAGTGTGTTGTATACTCTAGGTGGCACTGTTCTGTGGGTGATGTACACTACCTAAAACCCACTGAGGAAACTAAGCAGTAAAAATCTTGCAGCCAGTTTATTTTTCTTCTCTTAACAGAAGGCTATTTCAATTTAAAAGGGAACATGTAAAAAACATATACTGTAGTTCTCAAATTGACATGGTTGTCACATTAGACAATATATCATTAAAAGTCACGTCCAGTTGCCTAACAGAACTCTTCAACCTCGACCATGACCTGCATGATGATTAAAACAAAAGATACAATTTAAAAAATAACATTAAACTGAACAACAAAGAGCATTTCATTTGAAAACATTCCTCCTCCTTTCCAGTGAACAAAGTTTTACCTTAACTGAGTACCAACACATTAACACAGTTAGGGTTAAATGGGTCTGAGTAAAAGAAATGATGCAGTGTAAAGTGGTTGTGAACTCCTTACACTGAGAAAAACAATAGTCTATTCAGCGCTATGTCAAGTCATTTCTTTAAATGTAATGTAACAAATCCTACAGTTAAGTCCTGCTTCTGTCCTTGTCCCTGATGTTGGAGTACTTCCTCATTGTTAACACTGTTGACCTAATTACTCTATATCAACTACCCATGAGGGAAACAAGACTTGAACTGAACTTGAGGAGGAACGCCTTTATGTTATATAGTGTCTGCACGTTGTTGAGTATTTGAATGAAGTAAAAGGCCTGATATCATTACTGGTATCTGTATTGGTGCTTAAAACAAAACCTAGATGAATTCCTAAAATATAAAAAGGTTCCTTTTAACAAGTCCTCACCATGACAGGTTTTTATCAGTAGTTATGGTTTTGATGTAGGCCATTCAGACCAACGTACGAACCCAAAAAGTGTGAAGATTTAATGTGCACCTGAAAATAGCACATTACAGAGACACATTACTGAGTCACACATTTAAAAAGTGCTTTTGTTGTCATGCACTGCACTTCTGTGAAGTTGGCAACTGTGCACTACAAACACATGGATATAGAGCAACATTTGCTGGCACTTGTATAATGGATTTTGCTCCTGGCTAGAAGCAGCTTCAAGAAGCTACAGGGATTAAATATAAAGGCAACAGCCTGATAAGAACATCTTGTTCATCTCTTTGTACTACAGTACAAGAACGCTTCTCTTTCATATGATCATGATCCTAAAAGGATGATAGTTCGCTGTCCAAACCTCTTGCCTAACATGTGGCCATTTAAAATCCACTTAAAGATTTGTGATTATGGTTAAAATCTACATTGATGGTTGTTGTTGGTTTCACTGGGGCACGGAGGGCCCACTGTTTTGGACTGATTGTAAATTTCAGCACCACGGACAGGGACCACATTTACCAGCACACCATAAAAGGGTTGTCTGTTTGTAGTTGTATTACCTTGAACTGCTGTTGAGTGCCATTGGTGTGTTGTGGAGAAAGCAGTTGAACAATTCGGGGAATAAGGTCTCTGTAGGAGAACCTGTAGGTTCCCAGAGCAGTTGTCAGCACACTCTGGGCTCTGCTACGTACCTAAAGACACACAGACATTAACTCAGTGATGTACTGTAACTACAACATTTGTACAGCCTTTGTAACACTGTTTTTAGCACATAAAGAAGCACAAACACAGTTTTTCAGTCTGCAACTATTATTTTACTCTGTTTTTACAACTGTAGGCCTGTGTTAGACCAAAATTCTTCTCTATTTTTTCTGAGTGATAGTTGGTACACAGTGATCCAAAAAGACAGTGTTGTGTGTTGTAAAACATGCTGTTATTATCCAGTTGTACTGTGGTGGTTCTACAGATGTTGTGACTATTTGTGTTGTGTGTGTGTGTGTCGTCACATGTACCTGGCTGTAAGTGCTGGTAGAAAGCAGCAGCAAATCACCGAGCAGGTCCTGGTGAACCACTTTATATTCGAGACCTTCAACCACCAGCTTCCTCATCTATTTAAAAAAATCCAAACACAACAGCAGGCTCTGTCTGAAGGTGACACAGATTTTATTATGTGTGCATCAGCCCTATCTGCAAAATTGGCACTAAATGAGTGAGTTTTCAGACCAACCTCATGCTGGAGTAAAACCCGGTCAATGAGCAGAGATCTAATGTGCTGTTTTTTCCCGTGGAGCTGCGTGAGGGAAAACATCAGGCTTAAATCACTGTAACAGAGACAAACACTAATAACAATCAGCCTAAAACCCCCTTTTCCTGCTCACCCTGTTCTCCATGGATTTCTTAACAAGAATGAAGCTCTTCCAGCGCGAGTCAAAGTCTTTCTTGTGAATACCTAGAAACAGCATGAGGTCACTGATGATCTGCAGACAAAGTGATAGACAACTTTAGACCTTTGCAGACACATGACTGGGTTTGCATATGTGGTAGCATATTCGTGAAATGCTCAGACACCTTAATGATGACAAACAGCGACTTTGTGTCATCCTCTGAGTGCTCTAAGATGTGATCTGAAAAAGGGTGGAATGAAAATGGATTTCATTTGACGTATTTGTGTTTTAACACAAAATGAGAAATTAAGAGCACTGCTAGTGGAGAGTAAAAATCTTTGCTCACGAAGCAGAAGTCTCATGGTTTGGCAGATCGTCTGTCTGTAATTCTCCCGTGAAAAATCTGTAGACAGAGAAGAGAGGATGAGATTTCTAACCACCCACTGAAAGTGATGGAAGAGCGACTACTTCTATGTCATGCATTTGTGTAATTGAGTTGAATGATTTTCCTCACTGTAGTCGACACCTATATGCAGTCTGTTCTCGCCCAGATTCACCATAGAAGGCACTCTGAGGGGGGACAAATAGAGGGTGGAAAATAGCTACATGAGAATGTGTCTTTTTATGTCATATTAACGTATGAAATGCTGCACGTTTCTGCTGCTGCAGGTCTCACAGGTCAGATACATGCGGTCCATCCAGAGGGGGCAGCATGCTCCCAGCTCCGAGAAGGCAGTGGTGCACAATGGCAAGACTCTGCAATAGCTCCTCCCTGTAAAATAGGCCTCACGTTACAGTACTCTGTGTTCTGGTTTATATAAAAAGATTACTCCACACTCAAGAGCTTTATTCAACCTTTTCCTTCATCTGTGCTCAACATTTATCTTCATCAAGAACATGGTTGAAATCAAAACAGATGTTAAACATTAGGATTTCTGTACAATCTACAGTGTTTTTTATTACCAATAAAACACTAGGATAAACAAAAAAAAAAAAAAAAACAGAAATATTCACACCTGCTCATGGGCTGATTGCCAGAAACGTGGTCCTTTATTCTCTCCAGCTCTGGGCGAAGAAGCCGAGACAACAGCTGGAAAACAAAATTCTCCTCTTCCGCACTAGGCACATGCCAACGTACACCCAATGATGCCAAATCTCCGGCTTTGCCCCAGTCCTAAAGTTAGAGAGGAAGAGGCACTGACTGACTTTCCATCGGAAACACTGGCAAGGTATTGGGCACAACTAATTCTCTCTTTAAAGCCACAGAGTTTTGTCATCTTTTAATGTTGAATTATGTGAAACATATGTCAATGCTGAAGGCAGTCAAGGCTCATGCAGCATGATGATCTAAGAAGACAGATGAACAGACGAAGCACAGGAACAAAATATGAGAATCAGCGGCCAGCAACTGTACGTAAGCAGCAACTGTGTGTTGAAATTGTAGAAAACAGCAGCAGGGAATGTTAGTCTCAAATTACCGTTACCTGGATATCTAAACAGAAACTTGTGCTCTCATTTCGGGGAAGAAAACATTTTCCCTCAGAATTCTGTCTCCTGGGAATGTATAGAAAAAGATTGCTACAATAGTAGTTCAGTTTTTTTCTCCTGCTGCCAAAACAGACAAAAATAGTCTGAGCTTGTGTTTTGCAGCCTTGAAGCACCATTCATTCATTCGTTCCTCTTGTACTGCTCATCAATTGAGGGCAACACCGAGGCAGGAGAACTCATGGACAGGTCATTAGTCTGTCACAAGGCCAGGCCCAGCACACACAGACAACCAGCCATTTGCATACAAAGCCAGAGAAGAAAGAGAGAGTCTCTGATAAAAGAGAAATATAGCAGTTTTCACCACATTGTATTTTCAAAAGAACAGAAACAAAAATAGGAAACGTTGGTTCTCTTTTTCTCTTCTCTCATTTTTTTTTGTATTAAGTTTACATGTTCTTCTTGTACGTATATTTAAAAGTTTTTTGTTTTTCTGTGTTCTGTACGTAGCCTGTAGTAGTAGTCGTAAAGATCTTGCCTGCCTTACAGAAGGTTCAGGTTTCAGTACCACTGAGGTGCTAAATCTCAGGTTTGCCAATCAAATGTGGAGTACTGTTGTCCAGGACCCTCAGATTTAACACTAGCCATTGATTGATGCCCTAGAAAAGAGTATAGGTTGGTGCACCTCAGTATCCTCTTTTGTATCTTTTTTCTGATGTGGTACAGCATTGCCTTCTCCAGCAGGTGGTGCCCATCTGGGGTCAACCTGTGTGACCTATTAACTAATAATAATTCTACTTATTAGTACATTTTCTTTTTTTTTTATCAAACCAATTACATTAATTAGTGCTGAGATACAGTATTATGAGCTGCATCAGGTTGGCGCTTGTTTGACTTCTGGCAAATGAAGAGAGGAATGATAAAAATATAAGCTGTTATAGAAAATGAAGAACTGGAGCAGGGATGGATGGGAAATGATTTAGAGGTTGTTCTTCAACCTGCAGACACAGTTGTCTGTGATCCACTCTCCACCCAGCCTTGAAACAGTCTAATACAGAGCACAGCAACTCTCTTTGATTGTGAGACTGAAAAACTAGGACTTTATAAAACACAACGACTCCCTCTTGGTAAAAAAAAAGAAGAAAAAAAGCAACTACGGATATGTCAACAATCTGCAGGTGGAATTGCTACAATTGCTCCACCGCTGGCAGCATTTTAGCACTAATCATTTCACTTGGTAACAGACTGCTGAAACAACAAACAAAGAGCCAACCCAGACTCTTTCTCCAGGGTTAACCACCTTGGAATAATGCATGAACACTCCTGAGTCAAAGTAAACACTGCTTTCCCCATTCCCCACTTTGTGCCAATATTGAACGCTGAATTAGGAAGTGGTACAATAATAATTTGGGATGTCACCTTCACACTCTCATATTTAGGTTTTCCAGCGACATAGAATATAAAGTATAGTGAAAAAAATGCAGTGATGTTTCTGTATAGAAATCACAGAAAGGTCTTTTGGGGATTAATGTGATAAATATTTACATTTCTTTACCAGGAATTACTGGTGAATAACATGTAACCGTTTTAGCAGCTTTGACAAGTAGTGACAGCACAGGAATATAAATATAAATAAACCGTTGGCCTCTTAGATAAGTGAATGTCAGGCTCAAAGTGAAAGGAAACCATAATTCAGGCTGATTATCAGCATGCTATCACCCACTGTGTGGAACAATATGTCTTGGGCCTGTGACCCATTAAAATGAGCTAATATTTTCCTGTCACTGCGGATTAGACTGTAACTGCCATTAATAGTTTTTCCTCTCACATTCTACAAAAATATTTGCACATATCTTTCAGTAAAAAGCTCCTCTGAAGACAGGTCATTAAAACTAAACACAGCACCATGTTTTCCTGTTTTTGATTACACTGTCATCACCTGTGGTCGTCTGAGGATCCAGATTTATAGGCAGGAAAAACACTGCTAAGGAAAAACCCAGTCTGTTGTTAGCAAATACAGATGTAGAAATATGACACCACCAAAAGAATATACTATTCAATCGTCAAATCATCACTGAACTTTAGTTTAAGTGTTATTAAATGAAAGTAATTAAACTAAATATAGCAAATCTGCAATAGTTTTGTTTTGTATGTTCTTTAACTGGGTCAAATCTCATGCATACTCTGTAAATAATCTTGATTTTAAAGTTAAAGTAGTTCTACGATTCTTCTTCTTTTTTTCTTTTTTTTTTTTTGACAATGACACGTTTGTGTGTTTTTTTTACCAGTATTGGGAGATCACTGTCCCAGACTCCAGTGGTGCTGCAGTGCTCTGTGGGGTAGATGAGGGAGAGCGAGCAGAGAGTGTGTTCCAGCATACTGCAGGCAAGTGTGTAAGCCTGTTTACAGCGCAGACGCACACACACACATACGATTCGCTCCAGGTCCCCCTGGTATTTTAACAGCTGCTCACCATCCACACGGGTTACCTAAAAACAACAAACACACACAGGTACTGCACTGGAGAGCTGTGTCTTAAAAATCCAGGTCCTCCAGTAAATCACAGTGTCTGGCTCACACCCATTCATATCAGCCTCCCCTGAATCATAAAACCAAACACTATGTTCAGGTTAATGACAAAGCTCTTTGATATTTATGACCGAGCAGGGAGCACACTGAAAATTGTAAAAAAAAAAAAAAAAAAAGACATGTTGGTTTTTTGTTGATATTTTTAGAATTGGTGGAGCTACACCAATAAAGCTAACCTTTATGTTAAGGTTGTCAGAAGAAAGTCAAAATAATTTGTTATGGTTGAAAGGTAACAAAATCAGGCCAGTGTTATCCAGACTTTTTCAGACATATCCAAAGGTTAGCTAACTGCTGCTCCTGTGATATTTGCTATAAGAGTGATGCTGCATGTAAATGCACAGCATTTTAGCACATAATGCGGCCCTAACTAATGTGTCTGCCAGATTGGAAATGCTATCAAGTGCACATCATCCAGTGTTGTACAGATTTCTGCCAAAAAGGGAACTTCGTTTGTCATTTTATCGAAACTGTGATCCACATCATATGTCTGATGTCTGACCTCAGAAAGCAGCTGGAGATTCCACAACAGCTCCTTGTCCAGTTCATCTTCGTTCTGTAGCTCCTCATCTGCAAAAAAACACAAATGATTTTGTAATGTGACTATTTACAATCTATATAAATCTACATAATCTGTACTCAAATATGTCATTAAATTGTTCTGAGATTAATGTAATAGGATGATGTAAAAGTCTGACCACAACAGATTCCTTTTGAAACAGTCGGGCGCGTTATTTTGCAGTGAGCACACACTTTTGACTCGTTCAGAGCTCATTAGGAATGCTCCGTGTTTGTGCTTCAAACACACATAAATACACAAACAGCAGACATACAGTGGTACTGACTGTCGGTAAAGTGGAAAATGACACTGCAGCAGTGAGGGACGAACAGACGGAGCGACTCAGCAGGATGACACTGTCACAAAGATGAAAAAAATGACATTAGTAAGGAAGTAGTAAAGTTACTACAACAGCAAAATAATTAAAGTTATATTATGGCCACCGTACCTTGGCAGTAGCTCGACACATGTCAGCCACCATCCTGCCGGACACACAGGTTTCAAAGATGTTGGACGTGGCAAAGTTGTAGACCTTCTGTAATGCCACCTGCCATTAGGACAGAGTTAAGGTTAAGGATATGTATGGAGAAGGCGTGCATGTGTACAAGGAACCACAGGTTTCCTCTGGGTGTCTGTTTTCTTTCTGTTTTCCTGTTTTGTGAGTCTGTCTTTATTTTTTATTCACTTACTCTTCCATTCTCCTGACACTGCATTCTGCTGACTTAATGGGCGTAACATCCAGTTCCCTGATCTTCTGTCAACACACCTACATGCCTGAGTTTGATAATAACATCAACACACCAACTGTCTACAGGACACAAGGCCTGATTTAATACTGGTTGGGTTTCTTTGCCCTAACTCCAGCCTGCCTGTTATTAATAAATCCTAAAATGTGTCCTTTAAATGTTTCTAAAACAGATCTAATTTACTTACACCCTGGTCACTCATATTATTACCCTATTAACACTCCACATGCCACCACATTTTGGTGCTTTTTTATGCAAATCAATAAGGTTCTTTGAAGTCTAAATAAAATGCAAATATCATGCTTTGGTTCATTCGTCAGACGCTAGTTTAACAGTCCTGTCCTGAACGGCATGTTTCTGTCCCTTTAGTTTTGGATGGAGAGGGGGTTGATAATATCAATTAAAGCACCACAGGTACATGATTTCAAATTGATATATTATTTATTCATCAACTATTAATAAATTAAAAACTAGAAACACTTAATGAATTTCTCATAGGAAACATTTGACACAAAAACCTCATCAAGGTCAAATGGATTTAATTTTTATTTTTATTGACAGTTGCTTAGCAACTAACAATTTTAATGCATATTCTTGTTTAATTATTACTAAGAAGGTTTCATGGGACCATCCATGTTTTCCAAATGAATCCAGTGTAATATAATCCAACAGAAAAGTAGTTTGCTAAACATTAGGGAGCCAAGAACTGAAATGTTTTGGATGGTTTTGAGAGTGTTAAATTTTATATTAGAAGCTGACCTCAATGTTTGTGATAAGAAATAAAAATATAACAACATTTGCCTTAGGTGAGACAGAAGTAAATTCAAAAAGTTCAAAAGTAACTAAATTAGGCCAGTGGTCTCCAGGCTTTTTTCAAATCGGACTTGATTCAAAACTTAAAAATGCCCAAAGGGTGAACTGCTCCTGTGAGGCTGTAATGAAGTTGCATATAAATGCCAAGCATATTATGACAATTTTTAGCTCATAACTAATGTATTTGCCAAATTGGAAATGCAATCGAACGCATGTTACCTAATGCAGAACACTGCAAAACAAACTTTTTTTAAAGTATGGCAAGTCAGAAACACACAAATTATTTATTATTTTAATTTTGCAAAATATAGCAGAAATAATCAAAGGTGACAGATGTAAAGTACTCAAAAAATGAAAATCTTTTAAAAAGACAGCCAAATATATTTAGGGAAAAGCTTGACTATCCCACTGGACAAGAACATTAAACCAGCCTGAATTTAGCAAAGCGGAAACTGTTGTGACAATTTTGAATAGTGAGACAGACTTCCGGTGACGTCATGGTAGAGACAGTTATAGTAGTTAGTTATAACTAAGTTAAAAGACGTCAAGGGGTAAATGAGACCGTCCAGATAAACGTATTTAAATATGAGCAAGAGCTATCAGAATAAAGAAAGACCAAGAAGAAAATACGGACTAAAAAATTGCTCAAATTAAAGACAACCAGTGAGAAAGATGAAACAACGATGCTGTACATTAGAGCACAGAGCTGTTAAATGACCGTGAGCAGATATGTATCATGCAACAAAGGACAGCAAACTAACAGCTGAGAATGGAACTTTTTGTCCAACTGAGTTAGAACTCCGTAACATTATACCAAGGACATTAAACAAAAGGAAAACTTGCCTTACTTTTTTCATTTAATTTTCATTTATAGAATGTTAATACTGTATGTCGCTGTGTAAGTCTCTATG